TGCGACCTAAGCCTGGAATCATGGGATGTGTAAGGGGAATCATCTCCTTTTATGGCCGCAAGATTCAGGTTACTGAATTATTATAATTTACCCAGATAAATGTTGTTGTTGGTGGTGAAGATTTGCCAAAGGTCGACGGTCGAATCCCAGGAACTCTTCCAACTGGCCCATGATGGAGGTGAGAACTTGAGGGCAGAGGGACGAGACCTCGCCTCTGAAATCGACGCGTTTTGAATGTGTAAAGTCGCCTTGAAATATCCACGGCCATGTACTTTTGGGATATTTCATGATCATCATGGTGTTCAAAATGTGTCCTTTTTGAAAAATGTAACTGATGATCATAACTATTGGATTTAAACTGATGATTAATCATAACTGATGTAAATTTTAGTTGAACATATTTTCAATGGCGTTGTAAACAAAGATCAGTTTTTTGCCAAAGTGGCCGTCTATATAAAATGAAATTTCAAAGGCCATATCGTTTTTTTTCAATGGCCGTTAAAACGCCAAAGTGTTTCTTTTGCTTTCCATTTCAGGGCTCGCGAAAATTAGCTGCGGCCGCCCCCGGCGAAGCCGGTGCCTCGTGGTGGCAACTTGGCACGTCGTATGCCCAGAGACTCCCCTCATGCTGCGATGTCAAAGAGGAAGCGTTATGTTTGGGTGACTACCCTCTGGTAAACCAACATAGCTATTGAAAATGGCCATTTATAGTGGATTTACTCATTAAAAATGGTGATTTTCCATAGCTATGTTAGTTTACCAGAGGGTATCCCCAAATGCCATTGTTTTCAGCTGAGTGAATCATTGCAATTCATCCCGATATGTTAGTATTATGTGGTAGGTTTTCTGACAGATGTCGACCATATGTTTCGACCATATGTCATTATGTTGGACTGAAGATAGTACAGGTTTGGCAGATAACATTAAAGTGACCCCCAAACAGGATAAACAAAATAAATGATAATTCACTGTCTTAGTAGTACATTTTCGTTATTGGGCTGGTTACTTCTACTATCATTTGCCGAAACATCTTCGGCAGACTGCAGGAAACACGTCTTCCGGCGCCCAAGAAATTCTAGGTGATGTTTCTGGAGTTTCCACAGCCCGGTTGTTCCGGCGGTTTTCGGTGGTGGATTTGCTGGAGGCACCCTGGGCATGCTGGACGTTGCACGTTTGAAGTTTGAAATGCGACGTTTCATGTGTTTTACTGCCGGTGGGCGAAGGAAATGTCGAAGGACGAGTGGGTAGACGTCGTCGAATTGATGCTGAATGGGTTCGTTTTCAGCCACAGATGGAGGAATACTGCAGACTAATGCTGTCAAGTTTGTTGTGGTCATTCGCGTTTAGTTATGGTTAAATTCAATCAAAGCAGGCAGGGGTGCTAGAACATTCGGAGCAATAATGTCCATGTTTGCAACGTGATGTATGCTAAAGGAAGCAGCCAGGCAACCCTGCTTTCTCATGTTTTCTCACTCCTGTGGGTGTTTAAGTTCTTTACTCTTTATTCTTGTGCTTTGAAAAACTGTTTCCAGTTTCATTATGATCCATCCCACATGCTACATGGTGCTGGAATATTTATCAACATTAACCCTCAAAATCGCCCGTTGTGTTGTAGGTGAATATACCAAATTTCAGGACGCATCCGGGCATGAAAAAACCAACAGTTCTTCGGCACTTTTGGTCCACCATGTCTACATGGAGGAATCGACGCTTTTTGCACCCTTTGTGGTCAGCCTGACCTGGTCGTGGTTTCCAGACCGCCTTTGAGAGAAGAAAAACTCTGGGCTGGGGATGCCGGGCGGTCCGAAAAACTCGAAAAAATAAATGTCAATAACAATAGGACGACTAAGAGTTTGATAGAAAGTAACTGCTATTTCATGCTATTTCAGTAGGATTCAGCTGGGAATTATCTCTGCCATTCTTTTTTCACATTGCTATTCTCTATAGTGATTGCTTGGTTCATGGCTCCATTTCATCCATGCTTGATTTAGGGATAGGATCTTTTGCTTCAAAGCATGCTCATGAACTCTTTTCTGATCCTGGGGCCCCCAAGATAGCTAAGTTGGTTTTTAAGTGGCTTAACAATGGTTTATGGTAGATATAACTATAGTTAATGGGGATTATCATGGTTTGTAAGCCAACTTATAACTGGGGGTCCCCATCCTGTACACATGTTTGATTATATTGGTATCTTGGCTTAGCATACAGCACACACAATTTGTTTTTCCATGCCAGTTGTGATGGATGTACCAAACCGAAACGACCAGCCGTTTGAAGTGCTTGTTTATCATGTGACATGCACATAATTTTAAGCGCACATTACGTGCACTTCTGTATGCATGTGATGTGTGGGTTAACCTGAACATGAGGTATCCGGAAGAGATTTGATGTTTCATTTTCATCGTCATGTTCCATCAACATTGCTACTTTGGGATGCAATATGGGGGTATACCCATTTCCAGAAACCATTGGGAACATCAGTCAATACATTCAGCACACTCAAAGAACTGACTTGCTGCACCTGATACTAGCATCATGCAACTTGAAACACTAATATTGGGAACGAGATATACTGGCATATGCCAGTAAACAATCATAATTATACTGCTTATAAACAAAGGTAACATCATCTCTATATATACATATCTTTATAAATTTATATATGTATACAGTATTATAAACACACACATATATATATATATAATAATGATAATAATAATAATGTTAAATAGGATTCTGAGTATAATATAAGATGTGCCAATATGTTTATGTTGTGTATTCACATTGTGACTCGTCGGCATGCCATACAATATGTGGGGAGGCAGGGAACACATTGAAGTTTCTGATTGGATTTTTCGAATTGCTCATTGGGTCATTGGAAGCAATTGGGGGGTAAACGCGGATTCACGTTTGGAAAACTCCGAATAATTTTAGAGAATACTTAAAATGAATGAACAGGAAGTATGTGTATATATATATTTATTTATTTATGTGATAGATTCGAATCTTAGAGGTCCTAGTTTTGCGGTAGTTCACATGGGCCCGGGCCAATCACCAACATTTGGCACGTAGCCGCACCTCAGATGTTGTTGCTATAATGCATCGCCTTTTTTTGTTGGCGCATGGTACGTTTTGTTTTTTTAAGGCATAGTTGTTGAGCACATCCCCACGTCTGCGCTAAGGTTAAACTCAACGTGTATTTGTTGGAACCGATGTCAGTTGCGTTCCGATCCCAAGCGAATGGTTGGTTCAAAAGAGTGAGTTCGATCCATTGATAGATGGCGAAGATCGCATTTTTGTTGGTTAGAATTAATGAAGTTAAACCATGTTAAACCTTGCCGTGAAAATATCATGTTTTCCTTGGATAAAGGGCGGTTCAATGGTCGTTTCTTTTTGGCCTTAAATTTTTGGAGATTCAGAACTTATGGAGGACTCGAAGAGTGCTGAAGCCCATGTGGCAGAGCAGGTGAGATGCTGGAAGTTTTCCAACGCTGCTTGTGATACAGTTGATTTCAAACCAACTATAACGGGAACATATATATATATGTATATATATATATGTATGGTTCTTGTGTTCTTGTAGGGACTTGTATTTATATATATCCATGTTACACACAGATATATATATATTATAAAACATGGTTTGGTGCTTGCGATAATGGTTGGTTATCCGAGATTAATCATGTGTGTTTGTGATTGAAAGTGCTTAATAGTGATTAATGATTCATGGATGATTGTGAATGATGAATATGATTAATGTAGTAAACCCAATAATTCATCCGCAAAATCACCATCAATGGTTGATATCAACCATCCCGATTTTTTTTAGTTTACCACATTCCAGTTGATTTCAAACCAACTGTAATGCGACTATAATTGTATAATGTTGTGTATGTATTTGATTAGTTTTGTAACTTAGATTACCCTCTGGTAATCAAAGATGGTTTGCTGAAATATTTCCCATGTATATATAGATTGTTTTCCAATTTGAATGCCAATTTATAGATTTATAATTATTTAATTATATACATAGCATTTATAATTATATAGTTCTGGGATTTGGGGAGTTCCCTTCCTCTGTTTGATAACACGAGGTGGTATCACCGTTACAAAGATGGGTCTGATTCAGATGGCTTTGACCATCAGCTCTAGCTCTAGCTGGACAAAAAATTCCACCAAGCAGGCACATCATCTACAAAAGTATCAAAAAGATGTTTTTTTTGAAAGTTTGGGTGATGGTTTGTTTCGATGTAATGATGGGATAACACGGGAATTATGAAATATGAAATAGAAATGGTCAGAAACACGTTTTGTTTTGAGCTGTGTGTGGCTGGGAGGGCGTGTGAACGCATGTGAACGTACTGCATGTGTTTTCCATGGTTTGTGGCATCAGGTGCACAAGTTTGCCTACAACGCTGAGCGCCGGGGGACCTTCCATTGATCAACCAAGTTTGCAAGTGATGGAGTCAGCAAAAAACCTCACTTGTTGTTGAGGTTGATATTCAAACAATCCAGAATGAATACCCGTAAATTATCGTGCTTCGGGGCTGCAGTAGGTGAAATAGATCGAACATGATGAAAGCGGACCAAGGTCGATACCGACGAGCGCTCAAGTGGATCGATATGGACCAGATGGCCATTTTTGCTGACAATGCGTCCTTCAAGATACCATCTGGTTGTTTAACATAGCCATGGAAAATCACCATTTATAAGAACGGTAAACCATCTATTTCTATGGGCCATCTATACCATGGCTATATTAAATAACCAGAGGGTATGTGGGATGTGGGGAATTGCCACCAAAGTGTGGCAATATGTATGGTGAATATTTGATGATATACCATGGTTTTTTTATTGGGGTCCAAACATGTTCTGAAAAACTTCGCCTAGGCCTGGGTGTTATTCTTAAGATGCCCAGTGTCGTTTAACCCCGCATACAACTGTCAGTTGAACCGTTGAAGCCATTTAGAATTTCTGCAAATTGCCATGTTTTCAGCGAGGACAAGAAGGAGGATCGCAAGATCCAGCTGGAACAAGCCACCCTCAGGCCATTCCCGGGATTGGGCCGGATCCGATGCGCTCGCCGAAGAGCGATCGGCCGATGAAAATATGCGCTGGGCCAATTTGACCGGACCAGATGGCGATATAGAGTAAGGTCAATTGTGCCAGGCTTCTACCTTTTCTATACCAGGTTGGTGGTTTCAAACATTTTTTCCATAATATATGGGATGTCATCCTTCCCATTGACTTTCATATTTTTCAAGATGGTTAAAACCACCAACCAGATACCCTTTGGTGAAACGTGGCAATGGAACATCTTCCATACAAGGTGGTGCCCCCCAGTTATAAGTTGGTTTATAAACCCCATTAACTATAGATATATCTACCATAAACCATAGTTATTGGAGTTATAAACCAACTTAGCTAACTATGGGGCACCACCTTGTATTAGATTGATCCATTGCTTCATTTCGCTCGTCCTCGAAGATGCCACAGGATGAGGTTGGCCAAGGCCATGTCTTTGGCGCACATGCGCTTTGGCGAGAACCCGGATCCCGCCACGGCGGCCGAAAAGGCCCCGGCCTGCGGCTTTTCTGGGGGATGGTGATGGATGGTGATGGATGGTGATGGATGATGATGGATGGTGATGGATGGTGATGGATGGTGATGGATGGTGGGAGGGTTTAGATGTTTTTGTTCCAATTTTCTTTTGATTCCAGGTGTGTCTCTTTTTTGATGAACATGGTATATAGCATAATAGCCCTGAAATATGGGAAATTGTACGGGCAAAGTGATGATGATCAGAGATTTAGTGGTTAGTACATATATATATATTTATATTTATTTATTATCAGGCCATGCCAGTTGGTTCAGTGAAGTGACATGTAAGCAATACTATGTGACATGTTGAAGGCGTTGAAACATGAAAATTGGATACTATCACCTGCCAGCAGTTACATCACCAACTTAAACTCTATAATTCGGCATTTGCATCAATATGTAGCCAACAAGTCATGAAGCAGTAAGCAAGATTAATCTTAGTGTCTTAGTGAGCATTTGTCACACGCAATCCAGCAAGAGAAGCCCTATTTGGTGAGGTCAGAACTCCATTTCGGTTTTGCATTATATACCCTTAAATGCACCGTCGTGTGTGCATCCATGGCAAATACTAATCTTCCATTAGTATGCCCTGAAATCAAGAGTTTGTAAGTCATCGCATTTTGGCACATTGCTCACACAGTTTGGAATGACCCCCGAACAGGTGTCCGTTATTGAATACGGATGATGATGGTAGTTGTCAGTGATCAGCGCTTATTATTTCTCAATCTCTCCTTTTCTTTTTCTCACTGTTGATTTTGGACGATTGCAACCTCTACCCCATCATCTTGAGATTTGCTGGATGTTTTTGTTGGTTTACTTTCCCAATGGAACATCCACTACTTGGGGAATCTCTATATCGGATTTCTTTTTTGGGGCTGGTGAAACAAATCCAAGTCATGACTTCCCAGCATAAATTGCACCGGCCGGGACGGATCCGTAAACTCGTAGGCGGCTTTGAAGGAAGGGCGGCAACTCTTGTCCGAAGTTCTGAAGGTCTCTGAGGTCGAAATCAACCGTCTCGCGACCGTTGTTTTTTCCTTGTGGTAAACTGTTCAGGTATGGAAAAACCACAGTTCCCCAAAGGATTTTCCATGAATTGCTGGCTAGTGGAAGTTATTGGCTGATTTGTGTAGTTTCTTAAAATTCGAAGTTGGGCAAGTTGGTCGGCTGGGCAAAGGGATTCATGTGAAGCTAGCGCATGGTTTTTGCTATGTTTGTACTTATGATGGTGGATGTGTTGCTTGTGAAATTGATATGATTCCCCCTCCTGAAGAGATATGTGTGAAATACTTTCAAGCCTGCACATGATGTAGAGTTGTTCTCCAGTGTCCATCCATCCTTCTACACAGTGACATAAAACAACATAAAACATGTAATCCCATCCCTCTTTTATAATCTAATATTAAACCGTCCCATTCTATGGTCCCAAATATGTCTAGATCCCTTATTGCAGTCGGGTTCCGGGGCGGTTCCTGTAGCACTGCTGTATCACTGGAGCCTCTTGGATCAGAGATGGCTACTGGATTACCTACCAAACATTTACTGGTAGAATTTTATGGGGATTTGTCCATCCAAAACTCTGACAGTGGAAGACAACTCCTATTTTTAATGTGGCACATCTCCAACTGGGGCTTCCTAAAACGGTCCCCCAATAGCTGGTTGAGTTCATGGAAAATCCCATCTAAAGATGATTAAGATGATTTGGGGGTACCCCTAGGAAATCTCTTGGCCCAACTCCCAGGCGCTCAACAACTCCTCTGTGAGATACGAGTGCATGAAGATGAACCTGCAGGCGATGCCTGCTTGGGAAGAAGACAAACCTAACCATCTCCAGCCTGCATGTATGGTGTATGTATGGGTTGATACACTAACCTATGGGTTGATACACTGTTATGTATGGTGTATGCAACCCGTATCTATGGCATTCTATGGCAATATCAGCCTGGTTCAATCAGTTCAACCCCAATGAATTCCAAGCTCTATGTTGTACGTATGCTGCTTCATTTTCATGGGAACGCATCTGAATTTGCACATGTGTATACATGTAGTCATATGTGTATATATATATATACATATAATATATATATATGTGTGTGTTTGTGTGTGTGTGTAACATGTACACATGCATGTAGACTATGTAGAATTCATTTAATAACCACATGCAACCATTGTTATATACATATATATATATACATATGTAATATACGCGCTTTGGTACTTTCAACTAGCTTTGGAAAACCACCATGTGTAAAAGCGGTAAGTCATCGAAGGAGCACGTTTCAGGTCTGCATCCAGGACGAAGATGTCGTCGAAGCTCGAAAGGTCTTGTCGCAGCTCCAGGAGCGGCGAAACCCTTGACAAAAATGGGGGCTATCGGGGATTCACTGCGGAAAAAAATGGTGATTTCATGGGAAAATAGTGGTTTTTCATGGGGATTGAGTAGGGGTTTCATGGGATTGAGTAGAGGTTGAACAAGAAAATAACGTGATTTTAACCATAAAGATTGAGATTCAACCAGCAATTTGATACGGATAAAATCAAAAAAGATGGAGATAATTCAGAAATTCATGATAATTCGCTGATTCAAGTGTGGAGTTAACTCATAATATAGCCAGCGATGGATGGACGACCAGAGATGATACCAACCACGTCGTCGCTGGTGTTTCGAAATGACATCGTGACTGCCGTTCCGGGGGACGATATATGGTGTTAATGGTGATATACAAATATACATATAATGGGTATATGGTATCACATATATATAGTTATATAGATGGTATCACCATATAGTACCATATATACCATGCATATAGTACATATATAGAAATGTATATGGATGTGTATGGTACTTCCATTTCTAGTGACAGTTCCCCGGCCCGATGTATATGGTCCCAAGGAGGAGAGGCCTGAAGACGAAGACCTGAAGAGCGACAACGCGAGGTGAGAGCCGACCAAGCCGACCAGGGGGATGCTGAGACGACGGATGGGATGGCCCAATAGTAGACATGTGACATGTGTTTGATCCGAGGAATGGCTGGTTGGTGGTGACTGGTTGGTTAATGATGGTTAATAGTGGTTAATAGTGGCTAATAGTGTTTAATTATCTGCTTGGTGGTGACTGGAACCATGGATTTTTATGACTTTCCAATACTTTTCATATATTGGGAACAATAATCCCAACTGACGAAGTCATATTTTTCAGAGGGGTTGGTTGAAACCACCAACCAGATGGAGATGCTGACAAGAGATCTATAGGATGATTTACTGTAGGTCATGTCAATGCTAAGGGCCTTCTGGACTTTGGGAAGTGTATTTTACTGTCGTGCCAGCTGACACAAAACTTGTGGTGTGATCATCCCACACATCGGAACAGAAACGATGTCCCTTTTGCGCTGCCATGGCCTTAGTTTAACTGAGACAGCTTCTTAGGTCGCTATTAAACGTTTTCTGGTTGGTGGTTTGGAACACGTTTTATTTTCCATAATATATGGGGTGTCATCCTTCCCATTAAACTAACGTATTCTACAAATCCTCAATCAGAATTAGTGTGGACGTTTTTTTACTAATGTGGTTTACGGCTAGCGTCATATTTGCCAGCCAGTCCGTTGTGACCAAAAAGCAGCATCCAAGCACATTTTGTCGAGAAGTTGTCAACATGGCCCTCTATGGATCAAAGAGCAACATTGAGAGATGGCTATGGATCAAAACCTAATGGATGTTGATGATGTTGATGCCCCCCATTTAAGGGCAATCATGGGCTTTGACACAAGCTGATTGTTTTAAGGATTCAAGTGCCTTGAGAGCATATCTTCTCGAACCTAACACTTTGCACCATGTGAGTTTTCAGGGTACACGCCCAAACAAGGGCCATATCCAAAGCCAAATCACATCAAATCATCAAAAATATCACTCCATTATGGCCCATGTTTACCAATGGTTCAGGTTCCATGTGGGATGTGGGTTTGTTTGATCGACTAGTGTACCTCAAATCCACTGGTTTGTCTTGGGTCTTCTTCAGATCACATATGTCTGGTGATCCATTATACCACATTATACACCATTTATTTATTACATAATTATATGATATACATAGTTATATTTATGACACATATATATGTTCCAGGTTCGGGGACCCCCCCTCCTCCCCCATGGTCATGGTTCCCCCCTCCCCCCTGTGGATGTGGGAGTTGGGTGGGTCCTGTAGGTAGTCTCCCCCCCCACGGTCATGGTTCCCCTTTTTTGTTGTGGATGTGGTCCTGTAGGTAGTATAGGTAGTCATGGTTCCCCCCCTCTCCCCTGTGAATATATGTATATATGTATATATGCATATATGTATATATGTATATATGTATCTATGTATATATATATATATATATGTATATTTGTGTATATATATAGTATATCTGTATACATGTATATATACATATATGTATATATGTATATAGATGTCTATATGTATATATATGTCTATATGTATATATGTATATAATATATATATATGTATGTATGTATGTATATATGTATATTTGTATATATATAGTATATCTGTATACATGTATATATACATATATGTATATATGTATATAGATGTCTATGTATATATGTATATAGATGTCTATGTATATATATATATATATATATATATTTGTCTATATGTATATATGTATATAATATATATGTATATATGTATATATGTGTATATGTATTTATGTATATATGTATTTATGTATTTACATATATATATATATATATATATTTATGTATATATGTATATATGCCTATATGTATGTATATATGTATATATGTATATATGTCTATATGTATGTATATATGTATATATGTATGTATATATATAGGTTATTAGTATATGTGTATATATGTATATATGTATATATATATGTATGTATATATGTATATATGTATATGTATATATATAGGTTTTTAGTATATGTGTATATATGTATATATGTATATATGTATTTTATATATATATATATATGTATGTGTAGGCTATTAGTATATATGTATATATGTATATATGTATATATGTACATGTATAAAGAGGTAATATAACTATACTCTTTAGTTCCTATATAAGTAGGTTTTGCATCCAAAATGCTGTGCATACCATAGAAATGAAAGATTCTAGGTCAGGGAGTATGGGACCATACCATTTGGGGGGGCTACGGGACCGGGGACCGGGGTCATATATATATATATTCATATTATAATTATATACACACTCCATGTTTTATATTTTTTTCGGCTTCCATCTTCGATGTCTTGGGTCACCGCAGCGTTTTGGAGCCTTGCACAGCAGCTCCCCGAGCCTCGCTCGTCGAGTAGCCAAAGTTGCCCTCGGTGATGAATCGGGCGAGGGAGGAGGTTTGGGCGCTGCCGTTGTTTGACCGGTAAACTATGGTAAACTAACATAGATGTGGTATAGATGGCCCATTTCTGGATGAATTTACCTATCAAAATATTGTGATTTCACATGATGTGACCACATCTATATTAGTTTGCCCCAGAAAACCAGGGTACCACTCGGAGGATTCTTCCAGTAAAGGAAGACGAAAATCAACAAGAACTGGAATACAGCAATATTTTCATGGAAGATAGTGCTACTATTTGGGATATATATATATACACATGTATGTGTATGTATGTATACTAGCTTCGGAACTTGGTAACTGGCTAGCGTTTGTGGGGTGACCTTGCCCATTTGTCAATTGGAGAATCCAGGGCACTGACCAGGGTTCAACCAGTTTCTAAGTGGAATGTTTGTTATGCAAGAAGTAGGGCTGGCGGGTAGCTAGATTTAAATTGCAGTCTATGATATTTGTTAGCTATGATTCATTTGACCTATGCAAAAATTCTCCAAGATGGCTAAATCTCACCATTTCAATCACACATATGATGATTTACGTGCAGGTATTGGAATATCTTGGAGATGTTTCAGGAGATCTGACAGTTTCTTTCGTCGTTTCAGTCGTTTCCAAATTTCAACCCTGGGATGATGCGGTCGCAACTCGCTGCAGGTGCTGGGAGGCTCGGAAGCTGTGTCCTGGTGAATGCACCCAAATAAGCCCATTTTGGATGCCATATGAAACCTCCGCCACTGTGCAGCACTTTCCATTTCCACCCATGGCCACTGATTTCTCCAGCTGGTCTTCCTAGTCTTTCGCGGCTTGGTTGGACCTTGCTGAAGCCCGTTATCATGGTCGCCATATGACATCTCCGTGTCATGATGGTTAAATGCCCAATCACTTCATGAAAAACGATCACAAAATCACATGAAAACCATTCAACCACCTAAAATCACTAGAAAGCCTATGGAAATCTCATAGAAATCCCTGAAAATTCAGCACCTCCTTATTTCTTCGTGGATTCTCCAGGCTGGTTCAACGACGATTCCGACCAGCGGCCCTCCGTGGGCTCCACGTACCACGGGACAGGCGGTCCTCCCGGTTGATGAATAGAGGCATTTGTTTAGCCCTTTACCCTCTGGTATATTAACATAGACCCTGGCAGATAGGGGTTGGAAGGCTAGTTTCCATTAAACATTGGTGATTTTCAGGGTCTATGTTAATTTACCAGGGGGTAAACAATTGTGATTTAATGGTGATTAATGGATGTTACCAACAGGCAAATGATGATAGATGGTATATATTACCCATAGATATATTCTCCATATAGGTGATTAACAATGGTGATTTAATGGTGATTCAATGGTGATTGATGGAGATTAACAACAGGCAAATGATGATAGATGGTATGTATTATCCATAGATATCTTCTCCATATAGGTTATTAACAATGGTGATTAACAATGGTGATTCAATGGTGATGAATGGTGATTAACAACATGCAAATGATGATAGATGGTATGTATTATCCATAGATATCTTCTCCATATAGGTTATTAACAATGGTGATTAACAATGGTGATTTAATGGTGATTCAATGGTGATTAATGGATATTAACAACAGGCAAATGATGATAGATGGTATATATTATCCATAGATATATTCTCCATATAGGTGATTAACAATGGTGATTTAATGGTGATTCAATGGTGATTAATGGATATTAACAACAGGCAAATGATGATAGATGGTATATATTATCCATAGATATATTTTCCATATAGGTGATTAACAATGGTGATTCAATGGTGATTAATGGATTTTAACAACAGGCAAATGATGATAGATGGTATATATGATCCATAGATATATTCTCCATATAGGTGATTAACAATGGTGATTTAATGGTGATTCAATGGTGATTAATGGATATTCACAACAGGCAAATAATGATAGATGGTATATTTAATTCCATAGATATATTCTCCATA